TCATCTTTTTTTGGCCATTACAGCCCTGGGTAAGCCCTCTTCCTTAAAACCTGATAATGGGCCAGCCTATTCTTCAGTGGCTTTTTTGAAATTTTGTACAACCTGGAATATTGTTCATACTCGTGATCTTCCCTATAATTCCATGGGTCAAGCCATTGTGGAACGTGCTAATCAGTCCTTTAAGGACTGCTTTCACAAACAAATAAAAAAGGATGGCTCTAGGGTACCTAATTTGTCATGGGTAACACAACAGGTTAAAAAAGTATTATTTACATTAAACCAATTGAATGTTTCCATTCAAAATTCCACCACTTATCAGAGACACTTTCAACAGAAAACAAGCTTGCCTCCGCCTCTAGTACATTATCGGGCTTTACCAGACAAAGCATGGTTGGGACCGGTCCCTCTGATCACTTGGGGGCGAGGCTATGCTGCTGTGCTTGCTCCTACAGGACCTTTGTGGATTCCAGCACATTACGTTCACCCAGCCAGGGATGTCGTGGCACCAGTCCCTGGACCCAGTCCCAGAAATGGCAAGGGTGACTCTACAGATGGCACAGCGACCAATCCAATCCCGGCATGCCAGTCAGCCAGTGACGTGGGGAGATGTGAAGAACTTGACCGCCAAAGCGCAGGCAGTGCTGCAGCAGCAGCAAGTAGAGCAAACCCCCGAGAACCTGTGCGCTGTCATTTTTGCGGTTTTAACTGCAAATTCCTTAGCCATCATTTGTTTATGTCTGATCGTTAACATCTGCCCTTTGACAACAGCAGCTGTCATCCCACCCAATCGTTCGAGCAACGAATGAAGCAAAATCTATGGGTGCAGCTGGCTAACATCACACAAAATGATGTCTTTTGCGTATGACATGGAAAATTTGCTTTCTACATGTTTAGTCCCTGTTTGCACCCTTTCTGCAGTAATTCAAAACTTCACTGGTTTGAGCAGAATTTTATTAAATGGGAACTTTAACTATAAGGCTATATCTAGATGGGGGGTCACTGCCTATTATCCACCCACTGATACTATTGCTTTGCACACCCCAGTGGTAGCAATCCCTGCAAATATAACATGTACAAAAATAGTTAATTGTACTTCTTCAAGTAAAAATCCTCACTGTCGTCGCATTAACTCACCTGTTTTAAACTGCACAGCTTTTGAAGAGACTTCCTTTCATTTTGGACGTTTGGCTACCGCAAGGATGGTTTTTTACATGTGGTCAAGAAACTTTTAATTATATTCCTGCTAATATTAGTGAAGCGTAGTGTTGCCTCAGCCAGCTGATTCCTGTTTTGCTTTCCAAACAGCAAGTTCACTCGAACTGTTCTCAACGTGGGGTCACACTAGATAGCACTTGTGACTCTGAGACAGTCTTACTTAGTAAAGCAGAATATGTAGCACTGGCTATGTCTCTAGTGGGTGTGCCAGGACTTGCTGTTCATGATCACCTCAACATTAATGCTACTTCTTCAGCTATCTCAGCTATCAACCATGAGCTGCAAGATTTGAGAAAAGCTATTTTGCAAAATCCCGCTACTATCGATTATTTGCTTCTGCGTCAGCATTTGGGTTGTGAAAGTTTTGAGGGAATATGTTGTTTCAATATTTCTGATAATTCACGAACCATCCAGCAACAGATTAATATTTTACAATTTGGCCTCTGATTTGAAAATTGATACTTTAGGATCTTGGTGGGTGCTGTTTTGTTCAGTGTATTCCTTCCTTTTGCAATATATGTATCAGAGCTTTTAGCCCCAAATCCTCTGCCACATTGCCTCAGGGTCAAGTTTTTGCCCAGTATAAACAACTGCCAGGGTGCTCCTCTCCTGATTATGATCCTTTTATTAACCCCTCTTACGACGATATTTCGTCTAACAAAACAAAAAAGAGTGAGATGTTGAGATAGGGATCAGGTAGAGGTCGTGAGCAGCAAACTCCCTCTTTTCTCTACATGATCTCATCCATTCACATCACCATGGCAATGTGGGAAACTACCCCAGGCTGGTACAATGACCTCACCTGCCTGATATCAGCTAGGTTACATCAACAGGATATTGCAGAAAACTGCTCCCTGTCTGGGGCCTCCTAGCTGATATATTCTTAAGGATTGGAAAGGGGTTTCACCAATAGAACTGCTGTTGCTATGCTGATGCCATCTTACTTTATGCTATTTGGAAAACTGTATAAAAGAATAAACACTGCGAAGGCAGTCTGCCATATTTGCACCCTGCAATGACTGAGCACTGATTCCTTCAGCGGTGAATGCTCCAACACTGGAAGTTTTTAAGAAGAGACTGGACAGCCATCTCTCTGAAATGGTGTAGGGTTTCCTGCCTCCAAGGTCCCTTCCAACATTATTATTATTATTATTATTATTATTATTATTATTATTATTATTATTATTAATGTTCAAGGCAAAAAAAACCAGTTCACAGAAACTCGATCCTCAACACAAACGGTTGCCTTTGGCAACCAGCACCTCCCACACCTTCCCTTTTATTATTCAGCCGAGGCCTGGCTTCCTAATACCTTCTCCTTTGCCTTTGGAGCCACCCCGTTGCATTCCTCTGTCCTACTCTCTTTTCTTGCTGGCGTTTTCGTGCATCCTGGATATCTCCCAGCTGTGATTCATCACTGTCCAACTCAGACTCCCAGCACAACTGTGCCTCAGCCTGAGCGCGAATAGAGGGGCCAGGCTCCTCGTCAGACTGTAAGTCTTGGAGCTCCTCAGAACCTTCCTCTGACTCTGATGTCACTCCAGGCCCCTCCTCCTCCAATTCCTCAGACTCACCTGCCGGGTCCACTGGCTGGTGAGGAATCACAACACATGGTTAACAGCACTCTTATTATACACCAAGCTGGTCTTCCATAGTATCAGGGCTTGATAATAGCTCAGTTCATCGAGCAACCAGTGACCAGGCTCAGGAGTGAATGCCAAACTCTGGAAGTCTATGGAGATTTTCAGTCATCCAGATCATGGCTGTCCCAAAGGGGCTTTTTCAGGAAATAATTAGACTTTGTTTTTCTTTGAAGGCCTTTCGCTTCTCATCCAAGAAGCTTCTTCAGCTCTGACTGGATGGTGTGGAATGGAAGTATTTATATTACTTGCAGACAGTTGGTCATTTGACTTCTTTTAGAGAGTCACTGAGGTCACTTGGAGGTTTATCTGTGTCCTACGGGTCACCTGAGTAGTGTAAATGTGTGTGAAACCTTCTTGGCTGCAGCTGAGTAAATGCGGTAAAAGCTTATCAAGGCAAAATAGCTGGATTCTGTTGTTATTCATATACCGAGCCACACCTCAAATGGGCAAACATTTTTGGCCACTGCGGCAGGACAGGTGCTCATTTCTGGGAAGCCCGGGAAGAGAAGGACACCAAACTCGCTCTGAGATTTCCTGGAGATTTCCTTCTTGATTCTCCCCAAGTCCTAAATTTTAGACTAAGTATTCTTGCCTCTAGTAAGACAATTGACATGCTGAAAGTATCTTGGTAGGTCTTGGCTTAAGTTAAGCACTGTTGAAATCTCCTAACACAATAAGGAGCGAATCTGCGTATCTGTCTTCAGCCCACATAATCAAGTCAGCTAGAGTTTGTAAAGCATTGTTTATTCAAGTTTTGGAGGAATATACTGTGGGAAGTCAGCCCCCAGAGAAGGAAATATTAAAAGGGCAGAAAAATATATTTTCTCAAAGGATCTTAAAGAGACAGAAAAGCATGCCCAGTTTTTCTTAATAGCCCCAAGTCTGCCTCCCCCAAGCAGAAACCAGCTCTGTACAAATGCAGATGTAAACCATCAGGAAAGTTGGAGCTAGGAGATTAGGAAGACAAAGACCTAAAATCTGCATACCCCACCTAAGACAGGACATGGTAGGATTAACTCACAAAGGCCAAAGGGCACACCCAAACTCAGGTCAGAATACATGACACAGGAAATAGCCTCAAAACAGAAACAGGAAAAAGCTCCAAACAAAAGGCTCTAGAGGGTATAAAAAATCTATTCCCTACATGGGCTAAGCCCTTTTTTTTTTCTTGCTGCCAGAACCATTTTTCTGTCTGGCTCGCCTCTCCAATAAACTACAACATTCTTCCCAAAGCAGTTGCCATGTTTATTCCCAGCTTGGATGAACCACGATGAAGACCTGTCTTCCAACAATACATTGCAAACAGAATGAATGAGGAAAACTCTCGTGGAGAATAAAATGGTTTACAATTGATGATTAATGTCCCTAAGTCCACATCACAGAATTTCTTTAGTGTGGTTACATTTGTACACCATCGGATGTTGATATAGAAGTAGAGACGCCATTCCTTTCTTTTTACTGGATGTTTCTGCAATTCTGTCCACCCTCTGTATCTGAAATCCTGGGAAATGCATGCTGCTATCATCAATTGACTCATTTAGCCAGGTTTCAGTGAAGCAGAGGGTGACTGAGTTGCAAAAATCAGAATTGCATATGTTTAAAAGACGTATTTTATCCATCTTATTAGCAAAAGAGTGAAGGAAGAGGTTTTTGTTCCATTTTTCCTTAGTCTATTCAAAATCCCTGCTCGCTTACCCCTTCTTCGCCCGTTGTCTCCTCCTCTTGTTTTTGTTTTTCCATTGTTGAGGGAGAGCTGCCACTTCCTTGATGACAATCTCCTCTGCATTTATAAAGATTGGGGGGCGGGTATAGTCACAGAAAGCTCCCCATTAAAAAAACATTGCTTGATGCTTAACAGTTAGTCTCTTGAACATGAAACACAAAGCGAATCACAGAAAATAATAAAAAACCAAAAAGCTATCAGAGAACATTTTACGGAGGCTGCCGTAAAATGAGGGGGAAGGAGAGAGGCCGTACCATTCCTGTATGCAACCCTCTCCTCAGATTCCTGTTAATATCTTCTGTGGCATGGAAATGAGTATTTTGTATTTTATCAGCAGAAAACATTGTGAAAGAAATCCATTTTCTATACGAAAAAAGAAACCTGTGTTTTTAATTTTTTCTTTCAAAGCTCTTCTCAACCTTTATTGATATGGTTTCTCCCGTGTATGGATCCTTCTATGCCAAGAAAGAGTGGAATTCCTGGCAAAGCTCTTCCCACACTCCATGCATTGATATGGTTTCTCCCCTGTGTGGATTCTTTTGTGGGAGATAAAATCACAATTCCACCTAAAACCCTTTCCACATTCCACACATGTATATGGCATCTCTCCTGTGTGGACCGTCTTGTGGGAATTAAGACTACTGCTATAGGTAAAGGTCTTTCCACACTCCATGCATTGATATGGCTTCTCTCCTGTGTGGATCCTCTTGTGGGAATTAAGATTACTGCTACGAGTAAAGGTCTTTCCGCACTCCATGCATTTATAAGGTCTTTTTCCTTTGTGATTCCTATGATGGATTGTAAGAGAGTAATTACAAGAGAAGGTCTTTCCACATTCCAGGCATTGATATGGCTTCTCTCCAGTGTGGATCCACTTATGGGAACTGAGACTACTGCTACAAGTAAAGGTCTTTCCACATTCCATGCATTGATATGGCTTCTCTCCAGTGTGGACCGTCTTGTGGGAATTAAGATTACCGCTATAGGTAAAGGTCTTTCCACATTCCAGGCATTGATATGGCTTCTCTCCTGTGTGGATCCTTTTGTGGGAATTAAGATTACTGCTACGAGTAAAGGTCTTTCCGCACTCCATGCATTTATAAGGTCTTTTTCCTTTGTGATTCCTATGATGGATTGTAAGAGAGGAATTACAAGAGAAGGTCTTTCCACATTCCAGGCATTGATATGGCTTTTCTCCAGTGTGGATCCACTTATGGGAATTGAGACGACTGCTACAAGTAAAGCTCTTTCCACATTCCATGCATTGGTATGGCTTCTCTCCAGTGTGGATCCTCTTATGGGAATTGAGGTTAGTGCTAGAAGTAAAGGTCTTTCCACATTCCATGCATGGATATGGCTTCTCTCCAGTGTGGACCCTCTTATGTAAATTAAGATGACTGCTATAAGTAAAGCTCTTTCCACATTCCATGCATTGATATGGCTTCTCTCCAGTGTGGACCCTCTTATGGGAATTGAGGTTAGTGCTACAAGTAAAGGTCTTTCCACATTCCATGCATGGATATGGCTTCTCTCCAGTGTGGATCCTCTTATGGGTATTGAGAGAACCACTACAAGTAAATGTCCTTCCACATTTCAGGCACTGATATGGCTTCTCTCCAGTGTGGATCCTCTTATGGGAATTGAGATGACTGCTACAAGTAAAGGTCTTTCCACATTCCATGCATTGATATGGCTTCTCTCCAGTGTGTATTCTCTTATGGGAATTGAGACTACTCCTACAAGTAAAGGTCTTTCCACATTCCAGGCACTGATATGGCTTTTCTCCAGTGTGGATCCTCTTATGGTAATTGAGACTACCGCTATCAGTATAGGTCTTTCCACATTCCAGGCATTGATATGGCCTCTCTCCACTGTGGATCCTCTTATGGGAATTGAGACTACTCCTACAAGTAAAGGTCTTTCCACATTCCATACATTGATATGGCTTCTCTCCAGTGTGGATCCTCTTATGGTAATTGAGACTACTGCTACAAGTAAAGGTCTTTCCACACTCCATGCATTTATATGGTTTTTCTCTCATATCAATGCTTGTATGGTTATGAAGCCAACTGACCCTCGGAAAGCCTTTTTTCATTCCACTTTGTGATTTCTTTGTTTCATCACTCTTTGGCTGTATCTGATCTGGAAACTTCCCTTTTCCCTCTTTTGAATGGATCATTTGGCATTCTTCCTTGCAATTCTTATTTTTTTGCCCATTAAAGCCTTGAAAAAGAAAAATGAAAACTGTAGCAAGAATAGGGGAACAATCAAACCTTTTCTTCCTGATCTAATCTTTGA